GGGAAACGGGGGCCCCGCGCGCCGCGCTCGGCTGCCCGTCCTCGCCCGAACGCAGCCGGCAGCGCGGCGCTGGGATGCCCCGCTTTGGGTCTGGTCCTCGCAGGGGCTCAGCACCCTGCCGGAGGGCCATCAAAGGTCTTTTCTCTGCACCAGGATGAGGCCTCTGCTGTGCTGGGTCCCGTTGCCGAGCTGGCAGCCGGGCGCTGCGCAGGGATGGCTGGTTTGAACCCTTCCCTTCCTTGTCGGAAGGCTTTTTTTCCCTTAGACTATTAATTTTCTTGGCCGATTTGGAAAGTTGAATTAAAAAATAAGCCCAGAAAGGTGTCCCGTTGCTGACCCCTGCCGCCAAGGCGCTCGCCATGGTGGTAGCTCCTCTGTTGCTATTGCTACGCCAAAGGCTGGTGTTGCAACACGGCTGGGCAATTGATGGCTCCTTGCAAAGGGATGCGACGGCAGCCTGTGACCCGGAGAGCTGCTAACTAGGGTGCAGCAGGTCACCGCACTGATGCTGCACTGCCCCAAGGGTGCCTAAAAAACCCCCATGCTCATCGTGCTGCTGCAGGGTGGCCACAAAGCGGCTGCTCCAGCCTGCTCAGAGCTGTGCAAGCACCACCCAAACGCTTCGGGGCGGCCTTTTGCAGAGGAGGGAGAGTCTTCGTGGGTCTGGCTGCGAGCGAGGTTTTTTTTCTTTTCCCCTACTGCCTATGTGCAGGAAGGGGGTGAGGAGAGGCCCAGGATGGATGGCTTACGTCTGCAAAATTGCATTGCAAAAAACAGTTGGTGCATGTGTTTGGTGGGGAGATGGGCAGCTCTGCAGAGTCCTATGACTGTTGCAGCGCTCGTTGCATTTGTGGACCTGTAGGCAGTGAGCACTGGCAGAAGGGACCTGAGCTTCAGCTAGTCAAAATATACCCCTTCTGAGTTATTACTTATTTTTTCACTTGCTGTGATTTTTAAAATACTTTCTGAGAAATTAAAGCTGCATCTTCCCTCTTGCAATCGCCACCTGTTTCTGTTAAGCGCACAGAGTCTTCTCCCCTTCTCTCCCGCCGAGATCTTGATATTAGCCTTGATATTAGCCTCTTGATATTAGTCTTTTGTGTTTCTTCGACACCGTCCCTGGTGTCATCTCTGCCGGGGAATTTCAGATAATTCCTGTTCTGAAGCCAGGTTGAGGAGCGCAAAGCTTTCCATGCTGAACCTACAGAACAAATCCCTATTTCATTTTCTTTCTTCCTCCGTTTCTTTTTCTTTTAGTTTTGCAGAGGCAAGTCAGGAGAGTTTGCTAATCTCCTGGGGTGCAGGTTGCTTCAATGTGCAAGAGCTGGTTGTAGCAACATAGTCGGCATGGGGTGAAGTTTCAGACGAGTAGGAAATGAAAACCCTTTTTTTGACAAAAAATTCACACAGTGGCAAAAAAAAAAAAAAACAACCAAACACACACACACAAAGCAAACCGAAGCTAAATATAGAAGGGACCGTGAGTGGGAGTTAACCTCACATGCTGTTTTTGGTGAAAAATGGGTTGCTTTTGAAAAACAAGCGTTCTGAGAGCATGGCTCTTGGCGTCTTTTGCTGGGGCGTTGTTGCAAGACACGCGCGGTGGTTTTGCTCTAGGTGGCTCTTCTATGCAGAGGCTGGTGGCAGCTATGATCTAATCGAGTTATTTAACCATTTGCCACTTTTTAAGTCAAAAAGATGCGCATGAATAGATCAACTGTCTTTAACCGTGATGCTGTAACACGTCAGCTGGAGAAAGGTATTATCACAGGTGCCAGCGTGGCTCTGGGAAGCAGCCCCCCAGTGCCCTAATGGTTTTACAGGTTTATGCAACCGTATGGGTAGAGAAAATCCTGAGCGCCTGGGGTGGCCAATGGTAATGTGGCTCCATAAGGGGAATCCATAACTACCTGTCGGGATGCAAGTTAGGGAAGCAAAAGGTGATTGTGAGGGTGAAAGCGAGGGGAAGAAATGCAGGAGGCTGCTTTTCTCCTTCCTTCCCTCCCCAGCACCAGGGTATGCGGTGGGGGTCCGAGTGTGACTACCATGGGAAAATGCTCTGTGTCAGGCGAAGGAGGCGCCGATGAGCATTTTCCACCACGAACGAGTGCCGTGATGGGGAGACCTTCCTCTTAAGTGTGCTTCGCTTCCCTAGTTTTTGGTGGGTCCCCAAATACACATCAAAATGTTGGACTCCTCGTGCCTAACCTTTTCCTTTCTCTCCTCTCGCCGCCCAGAGTCCAAAGTCTTCCTCATCTACAACACGGGCCTGCAGGGCTGCCTGGAGACCAAGGACTCACTGGTGAGGCTGGCCAAGGCCTGCAACACCAGCGCCCCAGCCCACCAGTGGAAATGGGTTTCGAGGAACCGGCTCTTCAACGTGGGTGC